CAGGCCCTTCGGCCTGCGCAGTCAGCAACATTTGGCGTTCCGCTTGGCGGACTCAGCCTTCAACGACGCGCCAGTGGCAAAGGCAGAGCGCGGCAGACCCAGGTCCAGCAAAAAGCGACTTCGAGCGCCCGCCCAGACACACGGGGTTTGGGTGCAGTGTCAGACATACGGCTTCGGAGAGTGAGGGTCTTTGACAAATCCGTGCCTCCGGCGGCCTCGTGCCCACTTCCGCCGGGATGTGCTGCAGCTGGCATTGCGAGGTGTGTCAGGGGCTACAAGCGCTTGAACTCAGCCTTCCCCGTGGCTGTGGAAGCCAGAATCTTTTGCGCGCCAACGCAACACTGCTTTCTAGCCCTTTGCCTGGGCTTGGCATCCCCAGCGACGCTTGGACCGAGTGAGCCACTTCCAGTGGAACTGCAACTGAGTGGACGGCCGTGCGCAGCAGGCTGAGGCACTTCTCCTCCAAGAAGCCTTGCGCCTGTCCAGACTCTTCTGTTCTGAAAGCTCGCCTGGCCATCGTCGTTGGCTTTGCAGAAGGAGAGCAAAGCTTCCACAACGCCAGAGAGGCCTTTGAACTTGTAGTTCAAGCTGCTGGCCGATCGCCTCGGGTTGCCTGGTCCAGCTTTCACCGCCTTGACAAAGCAGGTGCCCCGGCTTGCAGCGGGTCGTTTGCCAATTCAGGGGCGCGCGCTGGACCAGCAGGTTTGCAGCTTCCTTAACATCAAATTCCAAGTTGCTCGTGCCCCGGCTCCGCCAGAAAGTTTGTTGACTTCAGCGGCGGCCCTGAGATCTACTTGAAAAAACTGCAGCCTATTACAGGGTAATAGGCATCAGGAAGCGTCACGCTGAAGATGGCCGCGGAACAAAGACGTCTGCGTGGTCCACAGACCTTGGAACGCGTTTAGCAAACGCTAGAACGCTTGTTTCCCTGATGATATTTCACAGCAGCTTGCAGATCATGAAGCCGTTCCTGTTGGCAGTGCAGTCCACCAACTCAACCCCGTGGCAACTACAGGACGCAGCGCGGCAGATGATGCGCCAGTTTGACTTGCAGACGCAGAAGCTGGCCAAGCTGCAGAAGATGCTGCAAGCTTTGCAGTTTCTGCAGCCACACTTGGGCACGCAAGCGCTTCTACCATGAGCACCAGCTTTCGGGGAGCCAGCCCTATCTTGCCCCGTGGTGTAGGGCTAGACGTTGCTGCCTGATTGTAGTGTCACCGCTTCCTGCATTGAGGGGGATCCCCGACACAGCCGTGGGTGTCAGCCCCCCCGGTCACCCGCAGAACAGAAGATACAAAAATGCGCGCGGGGATGTGGCGTCAGAATGCGGCGTCAGCCGGGAATGCAGGGAATATGGCGTCGGAGCGCGGCGTCAGCCAGAAATGCGGCGCCAGGGAGGAATGTGGCGGCAGGGAATGTGGCGTCGGAATGCGGCGTCAGCCAAGAATGCGGCGTCAGGGAGGAATGCGGCGTCAGGGAATGTGGCGTCGGAATGCGGCGTCACCTAGGAATGCGGCGTCAGGGGTGAATGTGGCGTCATGGAATGCTGAGTCACAATGCGGCGTCAGCCGAAAATATTGCGCCAGAGTAATGTGGCGTCCGAATGTGGTGTCAGCCGGGAATGCGGCGTCAGCCGGGAATGTGGCGTCAGAGAATGTGGCGTCAGAACGCGGCGCCGGGAATGCGGCGTCAGGGGAGAATGTGGCGTCAGGGAATGCGGGGTCACAGGTTTTTTGGAATGCAGCATCAGAATGCGAATGCAGCGTCAGGTGGAAAAGCACTGGCCTTTTTGCGGCCGCCTTGCATTTGTGAATTCTGGAAGCTTCCATTTGAACAACCCCTTTACTTGGGTTGGTAAGCCTGTTTGTCAACCTCTCAACAACACATGTACGACCATGGCCCACATGAGTTCTGACCATAAAAGCTGCGTTTTTGCGGAAGGCGTTGCCGAACCAGGAGACCACGTGGCGTCCGCTGGGGCAGCGGAACACTCGCCAGGCGCGCTGGGCTTGCTTCAAATCAAGCAAAAGGTGTGGCCTTCTTTCCCACGAGCTTTGGGAACCCTGAGGTGCTGAGCCTCAAGTAGAGAGTATGCCCCTTTGCTACGGAGTTGCAAAAGGGCCCGGTCCTCAAGCGGGCTCCCACGAGGCTCTAGAGTGGACAGGTGCGTGTCGTGTGCGGACTCTTGAGGTTGCGCTTTTGATATTTCGGCGCTGCATCGAGGTCAGGTTTTGCGTCCGAGGACGAAAGGGCAAACCGCCCTTTGTCGAATGATCCAAACATTGTGTGTTTTGCTATTGAGCTTACAATCCCGGGCGATATGTTTGAAGTCCTGACCTTGGGATGGACAAAATCCTACTTGGTTTATCCGAGTACTCATTGGGTTTCGTCCACAGATAGGACGGTCTCGGTCTAAAGCATCCATGTCGTCTAGCGTGACGAGCTGAGAGCTGCTTAAAGCTCAAGCAAGTGCAAAAGAGATGTGTTCCCTGCGATTGGGCACTTGATGTTGGTTTTCCGGCAACATGGCGCTCTCTCTCTCTCTCTCTCTCTCTCTCTCTCTCTCTCTCTCTCTCTCTTTGTCTTCCTCGCTCTCTTTCTACCCCTGTCTTAGATTCTCTTTTTTTTACATTGTTCTTTCTTGTCTGACCATCCCTTTTTGGAACGGTCGATCCAAGTCACGGGTGTTGTTTTGTTGTTTTTCCTTCAGGATTTCAATCGAGCAGTTCCCTGCAGAGACACCATTCATGCAAGCAATCTATCTCCCAATTTACATCCCCATTTGCTCATGGCCAAAACTAGCCAGTACCAGCATAAGTCTCCCGTCCCATTCATGCAGCCGGGACAATAGGTACTGTGACCCTGGATCATTGCAAGTAAACCAAGTGGAGGGATGCGACTGAAGATGCAGGCTTCGGATTTGATGTCCCTGCCCCAAAGCTTCCCCACTGAGTGAGTGTTTGCCTCGCTGGCTTCTTGCTCTGGACACCAGGTTTTGAAGTCTGAGCCGAATCGAGGGCTGTTTCCAGAGCTGTATTTGCATTCAACTCATTGCCACTCGGAGCAGCCCTTGCCAGAATACTTTTGCTGTAGACAACTCTAGGGGCACCGGCACTTCAGCTACGCGGCACCGGCGATTAAGCCGCGAACACGCTGTGCCGAGCTCCGAGAAACGAAAAGTGCGCCACACTGAAGCTTCGGAGTGCAGAGATACAGAGAGTTTCGGGCTCGAGGGTGTGTCTCATTTTCCAGGACCCTTGTGGGTTGCCATAGTCGATGGTTGGTTGTTACCCTGCGGTCCCTTGCAAAGCCAATGGGTGCCCATTTTGGGGAGAGAGCGCCTTGAACTTCATTGCTTTGAGCAAACTGCTCAGGGGAGCATTGCACACCGCAGGTCTGTTTCCTTGAATTTGCCAGGGGGGCGGGGGTCAAGCACTGCGTCAACATTTGGCGGGCTGTCCCTTGCTTGTCGCAAGCTAGGCCTAGGCAGATCTTTGGCCTGCCCTCAGCCCATGTAACCTCCGGGGTTGCAGGGCTCGTTTTGCATTTTTGGAATGGGATTAATTTGCTTGTCCGGTTTTGCAGCGCTCGTAAAGCATGAAGGCTACATACCAGCGGCAGACACGCACGTCAGTGCTTCAATCCCGATGCCTTAAAACCGAAACACTGTTTGTGCATCACTTGATGCTACTGTATACTGCACAGGTCTATGAGGGGAGGACTTGCATACAGTCGTTGACTGCGGCATGTTTGCTCAGTGCAAGTGTGTTGTGTGTGTGAGTGTGCGCGGGTGCGTGCACGTCTATGTGTTGGTTCGTTGGTTGGGTGTATGTTTAGTTGTTGTCGCTTTGTAGCTTTTGCGCGTTGACTTGCTTGCTTGCGTGTGTGTTTTAGTTCTGTCTTTCTTTCTTTCTTTCTTTCTTTCTTTCTTTCTTTCTTTATTTCTTTCTTTCTTTCTTTATTTCTTTATTTCTTTATTTCTTTCTTTCTTTCTTTCTTTCTTTCTTTATTTCTTTATTTCTTTATTTCTTTCTTTCTTTCTTTCTTTCTTTCTTTCTTTCTTTCTTTTTTCTTTTTGTCTTTCTTTCTTTCTTTCTTTTTTTCTTTCTTTCTTTCTTTCTTTCTTTCTTTCTTTCTTTCTTTATTTCTTTATTTCTTTCTGTCTTTCTGTCTTTCTTTCTTTCTTTCTTTCTTTCTTTCTTTCTTTCTTTCTTTATTTCTTTGTTTTTGTTTGTGGCTGTTATGCAGCATTCAGATGCATAGGGACAGTTAGGAATGTGATGGGTGACGCAGGTCTATGGGCTCAGGCAGAGCCCTCTTGAAGATCTGCCCGTCCACCTCTGCATAAACCCATTTTCGGCCAGAGGAGCCCTAGAGCACAGGAGGTTTGGCCAACAGGTCAAATCAATGAGCCCTCCTGTGCTGGAGGATGTGGCTGAACAGCAACCCAGGCCGTGAAAGAAAGCAGCTGAGTTCAGGTGCTTGCACACTTTCATTCTGTGACACCGCATGCACATGACTGAAATGGTGTTTATTTACTTGTTTGTTTTTGTTTGGCTGGTTGGTGTGTATGTTTGTTTTATTGTTTGGTTGGTTTGTTGGTTGGTTGGTTGGTTGGTTGGTTGGTTGGTTGGTTGGTTGGTTGGTTGGTTGGTTGGTTGGTTGGTTTGCTCGTGTTCATGTTTTTTGTTTTGTGCTGTTTTGCTTTGGTTTGGTTTGGTTTGGTTTGGTCTGCTTGTTTGGTTGTTTGTTCGTTTGTTTGTTTGTTTGTTGTGTTTGTTTGTTGTGTTTGTTTGCTTGTTTGTTTGTTTGTTTGTTGGTTTGTTTGTTTGTTCGTTATTTTGCTTGTTTGGTTTGGTTGTTTGCTTTTGAGCTGGCTGGTCGTTTGTTTGCTTGCGCATGTGTGTGTGGGTGTTAGTGTTTGTGTCTGTCTGTTGGTCGGTCTGTTTCTTTGTTTCTTTGTGTGTTTGCTTGCATACGTCCGTTATTGTTCTGGAGCGAGGTGTCGCAGCTCCATCGGCACATGGGGCGGTGAGGCATCCAAGAAGACTCGCCGCGCCTGGCAGTTCTGGTGTGGCTCAACTGCTGCGTCGGTGCCTCTCTGCATTTTGGAAGCCATGGCCCCTATGAAGGCAGGTCAATGGGGAAGACCCCCGTGGCAGGGAATAATATGCAACATTTGACGGCCCACATTTTGAACAAGAAACCAGACAAAACCACCGTGCACACGTTCAATCTGCTAATTTTACCACCTTGCCAGCAACTCAAAAGATCCACCCTCCTGGCAAACACGCATGCGTGGATTCGTGCACACGAGAGCCATATACAAACCAGGCAAATCAACAGAGCAATAACTAGAATGTGTGGAAGCATTTCATCCCAAAGACGACGGGCGCCTTTAGCGCCTTTGGAGAAATCCAGGCTCATGGTTGGCTAAGTATCATATTTCTTTGAAGTATTCTAATATTGGTCTATTCCCGAAGGGGCGGGCTAACTTTGAGAAACTCGAGATTTCTTGGCTTTGCTGTTCTCTAGTTGTCCCTAAAAGCAATCAATGAATTCAATGTATTCAATCAAACAAGGCTCCAAAACGATTAAAATCATTAAATTCATCAAAATAATTGAATGAGTTTAATGAATTGAATTCAAAAAACGCTCCAAAACGATTAAATGCAACACATTCACTAAATTATTTACATGAGTTTAATGAGTTTAATGATTGTTATCAAAACATGCTGGCCCGTTTGGCAAAGTCCGGGATTTGAATGAATTTAATGAATTTAATCGTGTTGGAGCCTTTTCCGATGAAGTTCATTAAATGCCTTTCAATATTTTAATGAAGTTATTGAATTTAATCGCTTTTGAGCATTTTTTTGATTAAATTCAGTACATGATTTTAAATGTGTTGATGAATTTAATGAATTTAATCACTAAATTCCGTAATACTGCTATGAGTTAAATTTAATCGCTTTGATCTAAATAGCACCGTTCCGTGGCCTGGCAAAGGGGCCCGTCAAATGTTACATACTATTCCCTCGTACGGAAGACCCCCACGCTTGCTTGGTAGATCTCCTAGTTTTGGTGGGGTGCTGCTAATTTGTGGTGCATTGGTTTTATCAAGGGCTCGTGCCGCTAGAGCTTTAAGCCGTGCCCTGTTCAGAATGAGTGTTAGGTTCTCAGGCTGTGCTTCTGAGTGGCGGCTGAAACGCACGCAAAGAAGACACATGCACCCCCACCCGCCTACGCAAGCACGCACACAACCCACACGACAGCCGGAGCTCAGAACACACGGGTTGTCACTCTTGGTTCAATGTTCATTCTGGTGCGGCCATGTCCACTCTCTTCGGCGTTCGTTGCTTTTGTAAGTGCTTGCCAGTATTGCTTTCTCCGGGCCCATTTTGTTGACTGGGCCCAGTGTCAATGTCAGAAACCAGATGCGCAAGATTAAAGGCCCCTTGAGGGTGATTGGGAAGGTGACAACATGCGACACGGCTTATGCGAGAGATCGGCAGAGGCGATGAAAACAACCGCGATGAAGGGGACGAAGGCGTGGAAGGAGTTGATCAAGGGCCTCGATGCTTCAATGGTCCCCAGACGGACGTTTCATTGTGAACAGATGTGTTTCAGGTTCCGTGTTGATACGGGAATGCAAGGATCATTTGGACCAAGCACGATTGAGGGCATTCCCGGTTGGGGATCATCGGCAGATGAGGCCACCTTGCTGGTCTTCCAGCCGACATGTTGTTTTGATCCATATTGCGTTCCCCGCCGTTTAGGAAGTCGGGGCGGCCTGGCCGCCAGGCAACCAGAGCCGTGTCCACGCGATCTGCCGAATCGGGGTTCAGGCCATGACGAAGGGCGCCCTGGCGGACGCGCTGGCCACCGCCGCGGCCCTCAAGAAGAGCGAGTGCAGCAAGGCGCTGGCTGCGAAATGAAGGACAATGCTAGGAAATCTGAGGGGGCTGCAGGAAACCTTAAGGAGTGTCAACTGCCTTAGCACTTCATTGTTGTACCTTTCTTTCTTGGGCTACACTGCAGCCCTGAAACATAGCAGTTTCTGGCCCGCCCATTTGGTTCGAACCCAGTCTGAGCTGCTACCAGGATTTACACTAGCTTTTGCGCACGGGTTCATTTGCCAATGGTCCAGGGAAACTTGAATGTCCCAACAGCTTGCTTTCACTTGCCTCGTGCCAAGAAAGTTACTCCAGTTGATGCATGCGCACGTACACCACTCCGATGCCTTCAAGCCTGTGGCTTGTGACTTCAACCCCGTGGCTTCTTGTTTTGTTGGGTTAGGGGTGTTGCCCACTCGGCGCGTTGTCTTCTTGAAACCATGCCCACGTTCTCCATGCCGCATGGCAATCGAATGCGCACAATGTCCAAAGCATGGAACCTGCCTGTTTGGCGGATCTTCAAAGCATTTGCCAAAGGTCATTCCCCGTTTTGGGAAATCCGAATCTTGACATGATGGCCAGGGTGGCCAAAGTAGCAAGCCCTTAGAGGTGGCTCACGATATCTTTAACAGCCTGGACAGAAAAGGACAACAACAGACCAACCTTGGAACCCCTAAAACAGTATTACCCAAAGGGCAAAGGACTCTTGCCGCCGCATACCAAATGCAAAAGACTGCGACTATTGGTGGGCAGCAAACTGGTTCCCAAAAGTGAGCCTGCCCGACCTGCTCATAGCCACCCAACACCTCCAGCGCTGGCCCCGCCGCAACCAGCCACGCGCTTTCTCCTGATTTCCAGTTTGTTTCCTGTTGATGGTCCCTTTCAACCCAAGTTTCTACCCTTCTGCCAGGGGTCTTCGGAGCAATCTTGGATCCCCCAAGTGTTTTGGGGCATCGACTCTGCAGCTCCTGGATGCGCTGGCTGACATCGGCGCTGGTGAGGCGGTGGAATGGCCACATGATGGTTATTAAACGAAAGATTGATGCTAGGCCTTGGAAGTGGACCTAGCTTGTGTTTTCACCAGGAAATGCCTTTGTGGTTGTGAGTGTGAGTGTGAGTGTGAGTGTGTGTGTGTGTGTGTGGGTGTGTGGGTGTGTGGGTGTGTGGGTGTGTGGGTGTGTGGGTGGGTGGGTGGGTGTGTGGGTGTGTGCGTGTGTGCGTGCGTGTGTGCGTGTGTGCGTGCGTGCGTGCGTGCGTGTGTGCGTGTGCGTGTGCGTGTGCGTGTGCGTGTGCGTGTGCGTGTGCGTGTGCGTGTGCGTGTGCGTGTGCGTGTGCGTTTGCGTTTGCGTTTGCGTTTGGGTTTGTGTTTGTGTTTGTGTTTGTGTTTGTGTTTGTGTTTGTGGTTGTGGTTGTGGTTGTGGTTGTGGTTGTGGTTGTGCGTGTGCGTGTGCGTGTGC